CTTCAATGGTTACTTGTTTGTTTGCCTAGGCCAGTGGATGATGAATGAGGCGATATATTCAGCTTAGTCCTTGCACCTGCAGGCTTCCTTCCCTTCATGCAACCATGCCTCGGGTTGCAGCTTTCTGATGTCATCCTAGACAATACAGGACCAGCAGTCCTGCATTGTCTAGGTCTCTAGGAGGACACCGAGGGCTTGCCTAAAACTGAGGAGCATTAAGGTGCCCATACACTGCACGATTCTCGTACGCGCACACTGCCCGCTCAGCATTGCAATTATCGGCAAGCCCTCCCCTCAGCGGGGAGTACTTGCGATGATCGCAGGTACGATCTGCCTGTCCAAGATGGGCAGATCGTACGTTTTTTTAATTACTTTACAACCCTTGCAAGACAAAAGTCTTGCGAGGGTTGTAAAGAGTATGGGCACCTTAAGACACCTGAAGAGATCACTGGCTGTCGGGTGACTCAGAAATAAGGTAGGTTTCTCACCTTATTCATCCTCCCTAGTCAAAACAAGCAACTCTTGCAGTGAAGAGGGGGACCTACTGGGGAGGGGGACTCACTGCTGCAAGTGAAAAACTTGATTTTCCTTTTTCAGCTTTAAACTTATTCTTTCTTATATAATAATGATTGAGTTTAACTTGTCAATAGCGCCACATCTATGAGTGCAAAAACCATTTAAAGGAGAACTATGAGATGAGTGATTTCCACTCACCTCATAGTTCTAGCCGACCTGTGACAATGAGACTGTCACAGGTCGGCTCAGTAGATCGGGAGGTGAACGAACACATACCAGGTTCGCTCACCTCTCGATTCTGTCACGGATCTCTGCCGTGGCAGGGGGAGGGCTGGATTCCCCTCTCCCCGCTCCGATCTGCCAGCGCTGACTGGTGGAACGAACGGGGGAGGGGCGGGTACAGCTGGCTCTGCCTCTAGATAGGCAGGGCCAGCTGTCACTCACGCAGCTGGGCGGATCCCGTCATCTAAGTCGCGATCCGCTCCGGCTGCGGCGTCTCAGTATACCGCGAGCTGTAGCTCGCGGTATACTGAGCCTAGGGTGACGGGAGGACGCTAGTTTGTGTCCTCCCGTTACCCTAAGGAGAACTATGGGGAAAAACACTGACCCCATAGTTCTCCTTTAACTGATTAACTGGTGCACAGACAAAGCAGTGCATGCACTTCATGCCTCAGATCAGACCCAAACGCATGCACTTCATACCGCAGATCAGCTCCAATGCATGCACTTTATACCTCAGATCAGCTCCAGTACATGCACTTCATATCTCAGACCAGCCCCAATGCATGCACTTCATATCTCAGACCAGCCCCAGTGCATGCACTTCATACCGCAGATCAGCCCCAGTGCATGCACTTCACACCTCAGATCAGCCCCTGTGCATGCACTTCATATCTCAGCTCAGCCCCAATGCATGCACTTTAGAGCTCAGATCAGCCCCAATGCATGCATTTCAGACTGCAGATTAGTTCTAATGCATAATCTTCAGACCTCAGACCCAAAGCATGCACCTTCAAACCTCAGATCAGCTCAAAACCCTGTACCTTTAGGAATCTAAGCATGCAGATGGCTTTTTCTGCACAGCACAGCATGTTCACAGCCTCTGATGGGATGTCACTGACGTCAGGGTGGTGGGTGGTCAATTACAACCAATGGCAGTGGTTGTTCATTTACACATGGAGGAGATAGTAAATGTGTCATTCATGTTTCCAATCCCTTCTCTTGTAATTGAACATAGGAGTGCTCAGTACCATCAGACATCTGACTCTTCCCACGGTGTGCTCGCAACTCTACAACCCACTATCCCTGCCAGTACTAGTGGGGGGAGAGCAGTGGGAACCAGAGCGCAAGAGACCAGGGGTGTCCCTAGACTTATCGCTGCCTGTGCTGCCACAATGGTGCATAGAATATGACAATCCATAGCCATGGTTAATATTCACATTAATGTTAAATGAGAATTTATATAGTTATTTTCATTAAGCCATTTTCTCATTGATATTGTATGGCTAAGTTCATATTCTGCCATCTAGTGGTGCCATCTATGATACATGCCCTTCTTCTTCAATAGTCATTTCCTGTGTCATGGATTCTTGTAACAGGACTTATTGTTAATCTGTATTGCATGCTTGGAAACATTATCATCTTTGACCGCCTTAAATACTGCCAATTCATTAATCTGCTGTATCCTGATGTCTGCTGTAACCTGATGTACAGAATAAAGCACCTTTGTGGATGGAAAAGGTATTTGGTGAGTTCAGCTATCTGATAAGGATTGTCCGCAGTGATTATATCTGCTTATACAGGCCAGGCACAGAGGTCTCAGCAAGGGCTACATCGCTAATACAACAATCGGAGTCAGAATAGGAGGGTGGGTGGGTGAATAGATAGTTATTTTAGGGAAGGTTGGGGGGGGGTGGCGATGTCAGTGATGGGTGCTGGTGGTGGTGCACCTTACCTGGTGGGGATTGGGGGGTATTGGTGTTGTATGATACTGTGAGGGAGGTGCTCACACATTAGGTAAAAACCAGCACTCATAAGGGGGTCCGTCCATTCAATAGTTTATTTGCGAAAAGACATAAAAGCCGCCAACAAACAAATCTAACGCATTTAATCCCACAAACTGGGCCCTAGTCATACATTACTTAGTACATGCTGGCGCACTACCTCTGACTTTGGCTCTGTCTGGCGTCCCACCCACCTTACTGACATCACTGGTTGCCAGGAGCTGGGCCGGACGCCGGCTAGAGCATAAGAGGTTGCTAAGCTCTTAACCTGGGACACTCTGGCCAGAAAGGGGGTCGGCAGGTGGGCCCCCACATGACCCAAAGAGATGCAATTTGAGGCAACCGCCTCAGGCTGTCTCATTATAGGAACCGCCCTGGCAGGAGGGGAGCAGAGTGCTGCCACACAACGGGGAGGATCTAATGAGTGGTGGGGCGGCGATGTTGGTAATGGGGACATTTTTTTTTAATGAATGGCTGCAATCAGCAGCTTGTCAGCCACTGATTACAGCTATTCATTAATCAGCAGAGTCTAGTGGACCATTCTGCTATAACTGGATGGTCACTCAAGTGATCATGAGTTTACCAACCAATGGGCTTGCCTGCTGGAAGCAATTCTGTTTCACTGTAATTGTAATATGTCCGTGTCAGTAAAAGTGTTAAATGTATTTTTAAATGCAAGCAGTGTACCTGCATTTTATATGGTATCTGTCTCTTGCAGTTTCCTCTAGGTCTCATTCACACCTGCACATTCCATAAACGTGTGTCAAAAAGGCGTGTTTTCATGCCTGCTCGGTGCAAGTTTGCAGAAATACGGCAAAACGCGCAACATGTTTGCGGTGCCATTTATTTCTAATGGCACCGCAAATGCGGCCAGCAGGACGCACTTTTTTGCTCCGCATTTGCAAGTGTGAAAGTGCGCACAAACGCAGAAGCAAAAAACACAAGGCTGGGATGTGAGAGGGAGAGGCAGCACACTCTGCCAATCAGTTCATATGCTTACAAGAATTATGCTCATAGTAGGTGGGAGCAGACTGACAGAGAAACAAGCTCATCACTATGTTTCTTCTCCTTTCACTCTCCAGTCACAGGCTAGGGGTGGGTCCAGGATGACCTGGGCTCAGTGGAATTAGGTAGAATGATACTGGCCATCAAACTGACAATATCTAGTGGCAAAAAACAAGTACTTGCAGAGAAAATCTCTGCAATGATGGTGAATATTGCTGTTGTTATTTTATCTTTTAATGGGCTGTTTATCCCATTTTATCTTGTTATTTTTATATGGAGTTCTCTTTTTTCCTATTGTTACCACAGACATGCTGAAGAGTTTGAACTACTTTGGAGACAACAATGAAAATGAATGTCTGTAAAGTGCTGTGAAGTACGTGGGCTTGGTACACAGAATATAAATTTATTATTGGTTTATGTTATTCCAGCTACATTTTATGTAATGATGCAATGGATTCTAAGAAAGCCTCTTAGAATTCCTGCGATTTAGTGTTTTTTATATATAGAATGCTGGAGAAGTACATGCAAATGGGGGTCATGTGTAAGGGGAGTAAATGAAAAGAAGAAAATAAAAATAAAACAAGAGAGTAAAAACTGTTGAGAACATACAATGTATAAGTGACTTGCGGTACCCGTGGTTCCTGGTGAGGCATTCCCCAGCCTCACCCCCAGCATGTCCCACCCTCCCCCCAACTTGCCAAAGCCTGGCGTGCCCAACCGGGTCCCCAAGCTAGTGTGAAGGAGGAAGGGAGGAGCCTCCAGGTCCCTTACTTGCTCATCACTGCTGAGGCATCGAGAGCAATGGCCTCAGTGGGGTTTTTTTTTCTTTGATTGGACAGCTTGGACCAATGGCGCTTTGCCATTGATGCCAAAGGTGGCGCCATGCCTCCAGTAATGCAGTATGCACAAAAAAATGGGTTAACCCAAAAACATTTTTTTATTTTTATCCATCACTACTTTTATTTTTATTTTAGCTTTTCAAAATAAAAATAAAAAATAAATTAAAGGCTAGTTCAAAGGTTTAGTGCAGTTGAACACTTGATAGTTAAATAATATTTTTTTGTTTATAGATATCTGTACATCATACAAAACAGAGGGACAACTGAGGAAGAAATAGGGACAAGGGGGCAAATAAGTTGCGCTCGGTCTAGTTGTGAATGGATGTGAAAGTGCTCTCTCAAAACCCAAAGGGGGAGATCACCTTCAGATAACAAAATAAATTTTAAATATAAAGTAGATGTCTCCACTAGTGATAGTGAACTAATGTTTGAAGATGCAGAACTCAACCCGGTGGTACTCGAGTGTATTGTATGTGTGTCGTGGGTTTTAACTGGCTAAACAAATCAGTTATATTGAAAACATCCGTAAAGGCATAATCATAAAGCAATAATATGTGAGAAAACAGTGAATAAAAGCACCTATATATAAAATCCAGTAAATAGTTAAACAACAAGTGATACGTAATAAAAACGAAAACGAAAAAATAAAAATAAAAATAAAATAAATATAAATATAAAAAATAAAATAAAAAATAAATAAAAATATAAAAAAATAATAAAGTGCAGCCCAGTGCGTGTTAGTTCCTCTCAAAACGGGAACTACAGGGTTAATAGGCTCAAATCCAAATATCCTAAACAGTCATTTCAGAGAAATTGCGGTTTGCAAAAAACAGTAATTACTTTCCTTATTTCCGTAATGTCTGAGTGGAAAGTTTATTCGTTCAACTGAGGGTTCCTCAGGAATATTCACGGGGATCCATATCAGACCACCCAATGGTCCAGAGATTCTCGAACAAGACTGTGGTTATAGTGATCCGGCACACTCTTTTCTCTCCAGATCTGTTTTTCTCCTATGACGGGTTTCCTAAAGACTCGCCGCCCGACTGGCGGCAAAGACCTGTAGAAAAAAGCTCCCAGGGGAAAACGAAAAAAGAAGGCAGGACCTTCTAAGTGTAGTAATTTAAAAAGGTTTATTTCTTTTCTTGAAAAATAAGTAGATTGCACTTACAAGATAAATTATATAATCAAGCTTAAAATCGTTTAAAAGGATGTCGGCTGTAAGCGGCGAAGACAGATATTCCTTGACGCGTTTCGTTCCAAAAGAGTGACAGTCCCTCTAAATGAGCGACAGTTGGGAGCCCAGATTAAAAGGTTCAAAATAAATAAATTAATAAGGCCAGCTTGACACCTTAGCGATCCGTGACCGCGTGGCAATCGGTCACCCAGTCGCCCAACACCGATAATCGCGCTGGCAGTGCCCTTTTTTTCTAACGGCACCCCAGTTGCGCCGGACAGAACGTGCGGTTTGCCGGCTCGATTCTGCCTGTGCAGCCCAACATGACTAAAACAGTTGCACGTGTATCACAAAATAAGGAACATGTACCTTTTTTCTGCGATTGCGTCGCAAATGTACCCCATTTAAATCAATGGGGCCACGCGGCAATTGCTGTCTGCAATCGCTGTCTGCAAAAGGTCCTTGGCACCTGCGATCTCGAGCAGCCGCACAGCTCAGAGTAAGATCCGGGTTTCTGGACAATGCGGCTGCCCGAGTTCGCGCTTGCTGACGACCTCGGAAGCCACATCTGTGATTGCTTCTTCTCCACCTTCTCCTCCTCTGCCTCCCTGACACCGTTCTGCCTGCCTACGATCCTTGGTGAGACACTATACCCCAGAGAGCCCTAAGAGTCGCACAGCCCTCCTGAGTGTCACATATCCCTCCTGAGTGTCACATATCCCTCCTGAGTGTCGCACAGCCCTTTTGAGAGTCGTACAGCTCACCTGGAGACATGAGGATGCCAACCCAGAACAACACAGAGTATGTAGATTCATATTATTTTGTATTGCTGGATAATATATTGCAGGGATTTGTAGTCCTCTATAGCTGGTCTCCTTACTCCCTTTTCTGGCTGCCTCTCCTCGCTCTCTCCTCTATATTCTCAAAAAAAAACAAAATTGCTGTGTGTGGCGCTAGTGTTCAGATTTCACTTGAAGAAAATGTGGCAACCCTATGCCTACCCCTGGTGTACAGTCTAAAAGGAAAAAGGTTGTTGTTGCAGATTTCTCAGATAAACTTGTATTACTCACAAAACAGTGCGCGGTGAAGAGGGCTCTGGCATATGCATAACTTGCCATCGCTCATACAAGCTTTCAACATTGTATTAAATATTGGCACTTCTATATATAAACTTCCATATGTCTTAGAATGTGAAGTTGTTTTCTGTGTTTTGATGTGTGAATAGAATCTTGGAATGAACACTGGATTCTCACATCCACTTCACAGCTCCAGATTTACATTTTCATGGATATTGCTTTGTGTCGGAGAAGCTCTGCCTTCCATAGGGAGGGTTTGCCACCTTGCCACAGCTGCCTATGACCTTGGTGTAAAAGTGCTTTGCTCACTTACAATGTTTTCTCAACTGTTTAAATCAATCTTTAACAGGTTTCAAGAGGTTTGCGCAATGTGTCATTGATCATTTAAGGCTGAACTCCAAGCCGATGTAAATTCAATGCATCTCTGTATTTCCCATTTGAAAATAAATGAGACGATATAACCATACAGGTTATGGCGAGAAGGGACCAAAGGAATCACAAAGCCTTCCAGATGAATCTGTGCATAGCACAGTAAAGCCTTCCTAGATCAGAAGGTATTCAAGTGTCTCTTCCATCCCATATCCCAAAAATAAGATAATTACTCCTCACTTTAGGACAGTGGGCGGAGCCATGCAAATCATTCCTTTATGCCCCATCAACCATGTGCATCCAATACCACGGGTGTGTAGTACAAACATTGCATAATAGGACTGTCCCTATAATGAGTCGGCTTGAGGTTGTTGCCTGCAGGCAGAGTGGCATGGCATGCCACTCTGCACTATGTGCCTGCCACCCCCTTTCCAGGCACAGCATCCTAGGTTGCTAAGAGCTGGGCAGGGAGGTGTGTAAGGGCCACACACATCTCCCCACCCAGCTGTTAGCAACCTGGGACGTTCTGGTTGGCATCCTGCCCAGCTCCTGGCAAACAGTAATGTCACTGGCTGCCAGGAGCTGAGTGGGATGCTCTAGCTAGCACCCCATGTAGCTTCTGGCCGCCAGTGACATCGCTGATTGCCAGATATTGCAGAGGCCACACCCCTGCCTCCAGCCCCCACCCCTTATAGCATGCACAACCACCAGCAACACCTAACCCAACCCCTCCCGCCTCAGGTGACGAAAAGGCTAGGGGCGCCCTTGTAGCCTAATTATTCTAGAGCAAGAATAGGCAATCTTCGCACTCCAGATGTTCTGAGACTAAAAGTCCCATGAGGTATTGCAAGACAGCCACGACTCCCAGAAGCAGATGTATAATGGAATTTGTTGTCTACCACCTGATGCACTGTTTTGCCCTGGTCTATCCACCTCCACAAAGTCTGCGCCAGTTAGTTGCGCTCCTTCCCTCCCTTTCTTTCCGTTCAGTATCACACAGTTACACACCCCGGTC